CCCCAAAACCCCAAAACCCCAAAACCCCAGATTTAGTCAGATTAATAGGAAAGAGAATTTAATGCTACCTTAGCATGGAGATAATGCTTAGCCAGATTCTCATCCTTCAGGCAAGTTTTTAGACTCTTGTCCGTGCATCTTGATCGGCCTTTGCTAGGATTTCCTGATTTTACTCTCTTTTTAGCTAATAACTTGGATTTTCCTAAGAATCAGAGATAGTTTACTGGGTTTTCTAGAGGTCTTTACATGCTCATTTGGTATCTTCTTGTCAACTACCATTGTGTGATGTCTGTCAGGGAAATTCCTGGCTAAATATAGCAACGGAAACTTACATGAGAAGCTTTGTTTGTTAGAAAATGAGATTTCTACATTATTTGTGACCAGGCTAGGGTCTTCTACAACCTCATAGATTGGTTTACGTGTATCAAATGTATTCTGCCTATTGCTGAAATGGTTCTTCGAGATATTATTGACAGCTGCTCTGATATCACGAATGTTGCTCTTCGTCCCTAGATGTGTTAGCTCACTCATACTCTGGGGTTTTGCAGATTTAATCCTAGCTGTCCTTCTAACCTGGTTCTTGATGTACCTGAAATAAGAGGATATTCCTACCCTAAAAGTTTATTCTTAGTGAAAGCGGGGTCATGAGGAAATAATCTGTTGATAGTCTTTCCAATAACTTTTGTAGGATTTCTGAAATGTGTCCTCGTTGGGGAGAACTGCCATGGTCTCTGCTGATGCATTTTACAGTGCTCATCAGTCTTCTAAGCCATGATTGATTCAACCTACCTTGCTGAGGAAACATTTGTGCTTGGTCTGCCTACTTTTGGGTTTCTTTGTACCTGGCTACTGGGATAATGCAAAAGCTTACCAATTTTATTCTAATCGGATTCATTTTAGATTCTTCAGCCTGAGGTATAGGGTATTGTATAGTTAGCTTATTTTGAGCTAGGCTTAGCCATCTTGTTCTTCATTCTTTTAGGAGATCTCTGCTTGGATCTAGTAGGAGACTTTTGCTTCTTAACGGACCGACCGGAGAGCTTGCTGAGGTCATTACTAGGAATCTCAGTTTTAATCCTGTTGAGCAGGTCTATGAAGAATCACTGTAAGACATACTCTGCTTCGGTAATGAGCTATTGGATCCTATATCCCATCAGATAGCATACCTACTGTTATTCGACATTGCCAAAGTGTTGCTTAACAAGTTTACGTTCGTGCTCTTCACCTTAGGCTTTAAGGACTTGAACATGAACCTCTTGCTAGGCATTCTTTTATTCTTAGCTTCAGCGACTATTTTTGGATAAGAAGGATTTTTACTTTTATTTTAAGTGAAATTTATGCAGCATTTTGAGCGTTGTTCTGTTAATTTTGCTCTATAAAAGTTACCTCAAAGACCACGATGAATCCTTACATTAAGGGATGGATGGACCTATAGGCTTCAGTCGAACAGCTTACCGTCTTCCTCCTCCTTGGTTCATCTTTGAAGAACTTTTCGAATTTATTATTCAGGATAATTTTTGACAGAAACGCCCAGAGGGAGCTGTTTTCAGTATCACGATCATCATCCCGAATGATTTGTTCTTTGAGGATCAGATGGTATGGGATATCTATGTTATCTCAATATTTCTCTGAGGATGGTAACTACGTAATAAACCTTCCAAAGAAGTAGCTTAATGGGTCAGGTATAATTTATATCCAAAATCGATGAATTTAGGAGCATTTTTAGCCTTCAATATTACAAACTGCTTACCTTGGATCCTGTTCTTAAGTCCATATTCAGTATTTTTCCTTAAATAGATCTGATTTTTAGTCCGGCTGTTCTGGCTCTCATTTTGAGGGATGCTTTCCTGTGCCTGGTTGTCTAAATACAGATGAATTTTAGAAGATAAAGCATAAATATATTAGTCATAATAGATAGCGAGAGAAATAACATGAATTATTACAGCAACAAGTATTCAGTAGTTGTAATAGAAAATCTAAGGTACCTGAAGAGCTGATTTTTAGATCTGGCTCAGCTAGATCTGGGTCTACAAGTTCAGTGGGATCCTTCAAAGAATCTTTGTGCCTAAATATCGCAGTGTGAGGGTGTAAATTGGTTGTCTTTACTCATCATTATTTTCCATTTTTGAATAATTTTGTTAAAGTTGGGGTTTTGGGGTTTTGGGGTTTTGGGGTTTTGGGG